TGGAAAGCATTCAGACTTTCACCATTAAGCATAATGTTAGCCCTAAGTTTTTTTGTTTTTATTTTTGAGGAAGATTAGCCCTGAGCTAACACCTGTTGCCAATCCTCCTCTTTTTGCTGAGGAAGATTGGCCCTGGGCTAACATCCATGCCCATCTTCCTCTACTTTATGTGGAACGCCACCACAGCACGGCTTGATGAACGGAGCCTTGGTCCATGCCCGAGGTCGAAATCTGCAAACCCCAGGCCGCCAGAAGCGGAGCGTGCAAACTTAACCACTATGCCACAGGGCCGGCCCCTAGCTTTAGGTTTTTAATAGCTGCCCTATATCAAGTCAAGGAAATTGGTTCTGACATCAATTTTCTGACACCAACTACCCATAGTTAGCATCAGTCTCCACATCTTTAAGGGCTCAGTCCTGCACAAGAAAGCCCTCACTTCAGACATCAGCTCCAAGCCTCAGGGGCCACCTACACTTCTCACCAACTGGCTGTAACTTCAGGGGTTCCCATGATTCCCTCAGGTTTGAGAATTTGCTAGAATGACTCATAGAACTCACTAAAAGTGCTATACCTATGATTCCAGTTTTGTTATAAAGAATACAACTCAGGAACAGCCAAATGGAAAGAATACATAGGGCAAGGTCTGGGAGAGTCCTGGATGTGGAGCTTCTATGACCTCTCCCCACGGAGTTGGGGCACATCACCCTCCTGCACATTAATGTTCACCAACCAGGAAGCTCCACCCAGCCTTTTTTTTTTTTAATTTTATTTATTTATTTTCCCCCCCAAAGCCCCAGTAGATAGTTGTATGTCATAGCTGCACATCCCTCTAGCTGCCGTATGTGGGACGCGGCCTCAGCATGGCCGGAGAAGCAGTGCGTTGGTGCGTGCCAGGGATCCGAACCCGGGCCGCCAGCGCACTCAACTCCTAAGCCACGGGGCCGGCCCTCCACCCAGCTTTGGTGTCCAGTTTTGATCAGGGCCTCACGACATAGGCATGATTGATTAGATCATGGCCACATGACTGAACTCAATCTCTAGCCCCTTTCCCCTCCCCACAGGTCTGTGTGGCTCAAAGTTTCAAACTTCTAATCATATGGTTAGTCTTTCTGGTGACGAGTTCCCATCCTGAAGCTTTCTAGGGGCCTACCATGAGTCACCTCATTAGCATAAGACAGACTCCTATCACTCTGGGAATTCCAAGATTTTTAAAGCTCTGTGCGCACCTGGGACAAAGAGCAGATATATTCATTATACCACAGCTTCTAGTTAATATAAATTAAAGTAATGTATTATCAACTGTTAAGCCAACCTTACATTCCTCATAAATCTCACTAGATTAGGACAGTATCAGGAATGTAAGATTGGTTTAACAATCAAAAATATATTCATTATATCTCTCTCTCTCTCCAAATTTAATTCCCTAAAATTTTGTTAAGGATTTTTTTTGCATCTATGCTCATATATTGGTCTGTAATTTTCTTTTAATATCATTACCTGGTTTTGCTATCAGGGTAACATTGGCTTCATAAATTAGTTGGAAAGTGTTCCATACATTATTACTTATTTTTTGGAAGAGTTGATAGAATCGTAATTATTCCTTCATTAAATATTTGGTAGGATTCATTAGTGAAGCCATCTTAGCCTGAAGTTTTTAGTGAGAAGGCTCCTTACATTTATACACAGATCAGCACTACTAGTAAGCTGGAAATACTAATTACATGTCTGTAATACGGGGCTGGCCCTGTGGCATAGCGGTTAAGTCCAGCACACTTTGCTTTGGGTTTTCAGGTTTGGATCCCGGGTGCGGACCTACACCACTCATCAAGCCATGCTATGGCAGCAACCCACACACAAAACAGAGGAAGACTGGCACAGATGTTAGCTCAGGGCTAATCGTCCTCAAGCAAGAAAACAAAAAAGAGGAAAATTGGCAACAGATGTTAGTTCAGAGTGAATCATCTTCACCAAAAAAATAATTGAATAAAAATGTCTGTAATGGACAAAGGATTTTCAGATTATCTATTTCTACTTGAGTGAGGCTGGTTAGTTGGCACCTTTCAATGAGTTTTGTCCTCTAAATTTTCATTTATAGGGAGAGATGTTTAACCTCGCAGTAGCCATTACATGTTTCAAAAATATCTAGTGCTATACCTTCTTTCCTTACTCATATTTGTAATATGTGATATCTCTGTCTTTTTTTCTGATGTGGCTGGAGGTGTTATCAATTTTACTCATTTATTCAAAGTATCTTCTTTAGGGGTGTCCATACATTTTCTTGAAAAAAATCATTAACAAAGTATATGAAACTGACTCTCAACACACTGGACATCAAGCAAACAGTGAGCTATGAGAGAGGGCAGACAAGTGATGGGAGCTACATGACTGTTACACGTTACATGTTACCACAGAAAGAAATCCCCAGGTCCTAATGCAAGGATAGTGAGTCCAGGCAGACCCCAAAAGTCACCCTGAGTTAAGGAGACAGAGCTTGGAGTCTGGGCCTGCCAAGGTGGCTGGAGTTCATAGAGCACAGTACAGGAGAGAATCAGAGACATACAAAGGGTCATCCTCAAGTATTCAGCTGAGTACTAATCTGTATATGCATGTATGAAACCACCAGAGGCTGGGCAAAAAAATACCCAAAAGGATTAGATGCAACAACTTCCAAGGCTAATGCAGAGAACGGAATAGTGCCTGTTCCAACCAGTTTAAGTGGGAGACCTCAGGAAGCATCAGGGAGAGAATACAGAATGGTTGTGCCTCAGTAGGGGGAGGGAAATTAGCCTTACAATATACGCTTCAATAATTCCATCTAAAGATTTTTAGAATTAAGACCCCGAAAGATCATATTGTTTCTAAGGAAATTAACCATGTTAACAGAAAGAAAAAATCAATAGAAATACAAATATTTTCAGTACTCAAAAAGGCAAAATTGAGTGTTCAATCAAAATTACACCATGTTAACAATAGCACTATAACAGCACTAAAGGACAATAGTATCAGACAAGGTAGATTTTAGAGCAAAGGATATTACTATAGGTAAAGAGGGCCATTTCTTAGTGATAAAGAAGTCTACTCATTAAGTGGACACAACAGTAGGAAATGTTTATTCACCTAATAAAAAGACTTCAAAATATACAAAGCAAAAACTGATAAAACTACACAGAGAAATAGGCAAATCTACTGTTATACTCGGAGATGTCAATAATCTTCTTCAAACAGTTGATAGAACCCTCCCCCCCCAAATCAGTAAGGATACAGAAAACTTAGACATTATCAACCATCTTAACCTAGTTGACATTTACAGAACCCTCCACCAAACAAGAATACAATATACATTCACTTCAAGTTAACATGAAACACAAAATAGCCTATATTCTGGGCCATAAAGCAAGTCTCAATAAATGTAAAGAAGTCAAGTCAGAAAGGATGCACTCTGACTGCAATGGAATTAAATTAGAAATCAATTACCAGAAAGATAAGGAAATCTCAAATATGTGAAATAACACATTTCTAAAAAGAGCCATGTATCAAAGAAAAAGGAAACTGGAAAAGATTTTAAACTTAATTAAAATGAAAACACAACATAAGTTTTGCGGGAGGCAACAAAAGCAATTCTTACAGGATGACTTTTAGCAGTAAGCACCTAGATTAGGAAAAAAAGGTTTCAAAGGAAGGATCTCAGCTACCATGTTAAAAAATAGCAAGAGAAGAGACATGAAATCCAATAAAAGCCACAAACAATGGTAAAAGTCAAAATGGAAAAAAAAAAAGAAACAGAAAACAGAAAAATAATGGAAAAATCAATGAAACTAAGTGCTTTAAGAAGATCAATAAAACTGATAAACCTCTGGTCAAAGAAAAAAGAAAAATATAGACATTACCAGTATCACAAATAAGAGAGATGGCATCGTTAGAGATTCTACAGGTACTAAAATAATAAGCGAACAGTATGAAAAATGTGACTACTTAAATAAAATTAATAAACTTCTCGAAAGACACAAACCACCCAAGCCCCCTCTAGGAGAAAAAACAAAAGATAACTTTGTAGACCTATATCCCCTATAGAAATTAAATTTGTAATTAGAAACCTTCCTGTAAAATAAACTTTAGGTTCAGATACCTCACTGGTGAATTCTACCAAAGAACTAAGGAAGAAATAATACCAACTCTTCCAGAAAAGTAAAGAACAGGGAATACTTAACCAACTTATTCTGTAAAACCAGCATTATGCTGATGCCACTGAAATCCAGGCATTAAAGAAAATTAGAGACTAACTTCCACCATGAGGAGAGATGCAAAAATTTCTAAAAAGAAAGAAAAAAAACAGCAACTAAAATCCAACAATACATAAAAAGAATAATACATCATGACCAAATGGGGTTTACCTCAGAATTGCAAGATTGGCTTAACTTTTCAAAATCAGTCAATGTAATTCACCATTAGAAAACTAAAAAGGTAAAGAAAAAGAAAAAAGACTATGATTGCGGTCACCAGTGTTCAAGAACCCCTCCCAAATCCCTACCTCCTTGTGTTCTCACTGCTGTGGAGGCCCCTTCCACCGTGGACCAGGATTAGTCTGTGTTACCCACAGAGTAAGTAAAAAATGATGGCACCAGGTTAAGGTTCTAACAGATACTATGGCTTCTTGTGTGACTTCTCTCCTGGATCAGTTGCTTTGGAACTATTTCTCTAAAAAGGAATACTTTCAGCAAAAGTATGGATGAAAAGGAATGAACTACTGATACACAGAACATTGATGAATCACAAAATAATTACGCTGAGTAAAATAAGCCAGATACATGAGTACATATTAAATTATCCTACATGTATATATATAAAATTCTGGGAAATGCAAACAAATCTACAGTGACAGGAAGCAAGATGAGTGGTTGCCTGGGTGTTGCCTGGGAATGGGTGAGGGAGAGAGGGATTATAAAGGGAATCAGAAAACTTGGTTTCACAGGTGCAAACATGTATTGAAACTTATCAAACTGTACACTGTAAATATGTGCAGTTTATTGCAGAAAATGGTTAGATGATTGCTCTGACAGTGACTGTACCCATAAGAGAGGTGCAAATATGGGAGTCCTGAGAAGTTCTGTGAACCCTCATACCAAAGCCATAGTGATGGAAACACTTGCAGATCCACCTTTAGAAGAGTCATATTCCCTAGAGCTGGCTGTAGGCTCCCAAATCTCTATTAATCAGTGTCTGTGCCAATTATGATTCCTACCTGGTCCTTTTAGGGGACAGTGACATCTGCCTACCGAATAACAGATTTCAGGGATGTTGGCAGGTCCCAGGGGATCAAGTTCTCCTCAAGTGGGCTGGAGAATATGAAACATCCCCTGGGAACAAGGGACTCAATTCATGCTGCTTTTGGACACACCACAGGTGGTCACAACAAATGCCGCTCAGGGTGATGTTGGTCACACAAACAATCTCGGCATACAGGCCACAGGCCTTGAGCAGCAATGCAAGTCAGGCTGAAACTAGAATGAGAGCTGCTCTTTGATTGCCTTTCTGCTAACACCACTGAGACACAACAGTTGGAGCTCTCACAAAAGCTGTTCATCCCCTCACACTGGCAGAGAACAATTCTGTTCTCAACCCACCCACAAAGTGAACAGAATCCCCAAGATACAAGATAGTTTAAAAACTAAGGCATTTGTTGCAAAAGCAGAGCAGTATGAGGCAGACAACTCCCAAGTTAGGTGATTTGGAGCCTGGACAAATCCATCATGAGTGCCACATGAGCCCAACAGAGTCCATGAAAAATGGAAACCTTCTCTGCAAGCAGCCAGCAGAACAAAGCTTGCATCCTCCTGGCCCAAACTGGGTCATGTTCACGCTTAAACCACTTGGGGGAGCAGGAAGGAGGATCTTCTCAGGCTACTGATGATTCCCTCTAGGGAAGGGAAAAGGAACAGAGGTCTGCCTATCAAAGCATGTTGGGGTGACTTGTGCACAATGTGGGACCCTGCTGTTGTGTAGATGGATGACTTGTTTCAGAGACGCTGTCAGTGATATAATTCTGGCAAGCGTCCCAGGCAGGTTACAAAGTGCAACATTGCTCCAGAAAGCTTCCCACACGGCTGGCACTCAGAAGACTCTCCCCAGGGTGGGTGTTCAAATGTATGAGGTTCAACTTCAGCTGATGGCTACTCATGTAGGCTACTCTCAGAGCTTCTCTCTGGTGTCAGTCATTACACTGAACAAGGAGCTGACACATTTCCGGCTATACTAAGACCTTTCTCCAGTGTGAACTTTCCAATGTCTGATGAGGGAAGCCCTTTGCCTGAAAGCCTTCCCACATTCACTGCACTTATATGGCCTTTCTCCAGTGTGAATTCTATGGTGCTGAACAAGCACATGTTTGTGGCTAAAGGCTTTTCCACACTCACTGCACACGTAAGGCTTTTCACCGTTGTGAACTCTTTGGTGTGCAATAAGGTCAGAGCTCTGGCTAAAGAACTTCCCACATGCAATGCACTCATACGGCCTTGCCCCCGTGTGAACGCTCCAATGTTTAATGAGTCTATATTTGTGACCAAAGTATTTCCCACATTCGCTGCACTCATAAGGCCTTTCTCCAGTGTGGATACTCTCATGCTGAACGAGTGTAGATTTGTGGCTGTAAGCTTTCCCGCATTCACTGCACTTGTAAGGCCTCGCTCCAGTGTGGACTCTCTGGTGTACAATAAGGTTGGAGCTGTGATTAAAAACTTTCCCACAGATGCCACACTCGTAAGGCATTTCTCCAGTGTGGATTCTCTGGTGCTGAGCAAGTATGGGTTTGCGGCTGAAGGCTTTCCCACATTCGCTGCACTCATAAGGCCTTTCTCCAGTGTGGACTCTCTGGTGCTGAATAAGCGAGTCTTTGCGGCTGAAGGTTTTCCCACATTCATTACATTCATAATGCCTTTGTCCCCTGTGACAGGCCTCCGCACACTTGGTGTTACTGCGTGGCTTCCACTTACTGTGAGGAGTATGGTGCTGGAAAACGTTTGAGCTAGTTGGGAAGTCCTTATAACCCTCCCCTGTCATAAAAGGCAACTCCAATGGTTGGAGAAGGCAGCTGTTCACAAGAAATGCCCCGCCCTCATCCCCTCTGAAGAGTTTCTCTCCACTGCGCTGCTTCTGGTGGTGAAGGTTTGCATTGAACCAGAATTGTTTCCCACATGCCACACACATGTATGGTTTCTGCCCAGGGTTTGCTTCCTGGTGCTCAGCCAAATGCAAAATGTCTTTCAAGACTGGGCCACATGTCTCACAGAGGTGGGCCTTCTGGGTAGAAGGGCCTTCCTTGGGAGTCCTGACCTGTGACACTCCTACAGAAATGCTCTGTTCCAAAGGTATCTCCTCATCCTCCATTCCATGCCAACAACCTGAAGGCAGACAAATGCTGGTGAAGTACAAACTGACACTGGTGGGGGGGGCAGTCTCATTACAAGTGTGTGTCTAACAGAATTAAGATTAAGGTCACAGGGGGCTGGGCCCGTGGCTTGGCGGTTAAGTGCGCGCGCTCTGCTACTGGTGGCCCAGGTTCGGATCCCGGGCGCACACCAACGCATCGCTTCTCCAGCCGTGCTGAGGCCACGTCCCACATACAGCAACTAGAAGGATGTGCAACTATGACATACAACTATCTACTGGGGCTTTGGGGAAAAAAAAGGAGGAGGATTGGCAATAGATGTTAGCTCAGAGCCCGTCTTCCTCAGCAAAAAGAGGAGGATTAGCATGGATGTTAGCTCAGGGCTGATCTTCCTTAAGAAATAAATAAATAAATAAAATAAAACAAACAATTTAAAAAAAAAAAAAAAGACCACAGGACTGCTGTCAGGACAAGAGGCCTGAGCTCAGATTGAACAAAGGGCTGCTATGCAGTAGTTGGCATCTAAAGGTCATAGAATGGAAGAGGCCTTGACTGGGAGAGGACACAAATGTGGGCAATAGCCCAGGAAGAGCCAGGGTGTCCAATAAAGTCATCCACAAATGGATTTCAGGGAGGCCTTGGCTGCTGGGGACACGTGAGAGCTGTGCAGAAGGGTGTGTTCCCTGAACAGCTACAACTGAATAGTTAGTATTTACGGACTATTTGGGGTGCATGCACATCTCATTGCACATTAAGTATAGGTCAATGCTGGAAAGCAATGCAGAGGGAGCAGTGGAGAAGACCAGGTGAGATGTGGAGGCAGAGGCGGGGAACAGCCAGGGGCCAAAGGTCAGAGCACAAAAGACAAGTGTGTAAAGAGGAAAGTAAAGACACAAATGAAGTGTGGCCAGTGGCCTTGGCACTAAAACAGCTGTGGGTACAGAGGTTAGGGAATGATTAGAACACAGCCCCGACAATGCACCTTTCCCCAGCTCCCACTCACCAGGGCCACACCCACCCTGGGCCTCTCTGGTCATGGCTGGAGTCAAGTCCACCCAGTCAGGTACCCAGAGGTCACTGCCCTGCTCCAGTGGGGCAACCTCATGGGACATGGAAGATGCATTTCCTAAGGAAAAGACAAGACAGGTAAATGGCCAGCACTGGTCTGAGTGACCCACCCCTCAGAGAAGAAAACTAAATATTACAAAAATAACCTCAAAGTAGGGTTTTGCAGGAATAGTCCAGTGGTCCCAGCAAGTAGTGACCACACTGGTCCCTGCAATTTCTGACACAGGCAGGCCATCAGAAATGTCAGTGAGAGGAATGGGATAGAACCTGGGCACAGGGGTCATGGATCTGGACAGAGGCCCTCAGTCAGGGAGAGGACAAGGTGGATATGATCCACTGGGTGACTGTAAGATGCCTCACTCCTGGATCCATCCGTACAAGCTTATGGGGCAGCACGTGTTGGGACTGCTCACGAGCCAGAGGTGGCAGTGCACACAGCTCGCGCCTGGCATCCACAGCACCTACTCCAAGGAACTTAAAAGGGAGACAGTATCCATGGCTCAATACAGGAAGGGCCAGGCTGCCCCTGGAAAACAGGGGAGGGACAGAACCCAGTCCAGGATACTGGGGTAGGAGTGACAGCCTTACCCAGCGAGGTCATAAGTGCGAAGTTCTCCAGCATCACATCATGGTATAGGAGCCTCTGAGTCTCATCAAGGAGCCCCCACTCCTCTTGGGAGAAGTACACGAACACATCCTCAAAGTTCACCTGCCCCTGCCACAGTGGGGAGAGCCAAGTCCATGAACAGCCTCTCTTCCAAGGATACCCATCTGTGCCCCGCCAGAGTCCCCTCCTGCATTCCTTCCTACCTAATTCCTCAATTCGAGGAAATGCCAGGACCAGGTGCCACAGGTGTCTGCTCTCTCCTCATAGTCCCTTTGATCACTGTGTCTACTCAAAGCAACAACAGGAAGGCGGGCAGAAAGGCACCATCTAAGCTCTGGGCCTGGCATGCATGGCTGCCCACCCCCCCTCCTGCCAGCCAGTCCTCCTGGGGTTGCTAAGATCATGCTTATTAAACAACCAAAGTTGGGCTCACCTTTCTCCCTTCAGCCCCCAATACCAGGGCCCAGGGGCCAACACTTCATACTCTTTTCCACATGCACATCACTCTTTTGGATAACTCTCTGTCTCACAACCCTAGCCCCTGAACCAGTCGTTGGCCTCCACCAACACGTTCCTGGCTGACTAAATGCACTGCCATTGTGATGTGTAGATTCTCCCTCCTAAACCCGTCTACACACCGTCTTCTACCTTTTGGATGTCTCCATCCTAAACCGCTCCAGAGAACTCCAGTCCTGTGTCCAGCAGCTTACCTGACACCTCCACTCAGTGTTCTCTGGAACATCTCAGAAACTTCACATGACCACAAACAAACTCCTGATTATACACTGAGTTACTTCTACCACTGACTTGCCCATCTCAGCTGATGGAACTTCTACCCTTCCAGCTGATAAGGCCTCAAACCTTGGGGTTATCTGTTTCTCTCTCTCACATCAGGAAATCTGACCCAATCACTTCTCCCACCTACACAGCCACCCCTCTGGCCCATGCATTACCACCACTCACCTGGAATACCGAAGTAGCCTCCTCCTTTGGTCTCCTTGTCTCCACCATAACTCCCTCAACCCTCACCACACAGTCTGTTCTCCACTTGGCATCCAGAGGGATGGATCAGATGACCTCCCTCCTCTGCTCCACACCTCCCATGGCTACACCACCCTCAGAACAGAGGCCTAGCTCATCAGTTGCCCATTTCAGGCCTGACTCCTGCCCACCCGCTCTTGATTCCTACCAGACATGGTGGAGACCTGTAGTTTCTTGAAAACTCCCACCTCAGTTTCACCTCCAAATATTTGCACATGGTGGTTCCTATGCCTGGAACAACCTTCCACACCTTATTCCAATGGTCCCTGAAAATGGGAACTCTTCCATAAGACACCTGGCCTGGCCTCAGAACCCTGGGCTTTGGGTTTCTCCAGGGTACTCAGACTCAAGAGCTGGGAGAGTACAAGTAAAGTGTTCTATGACACTACAATCCTGAAGACCACGTGGGTGGGGGTGGGGACACCCTCCCCTCACCTGTATAGGGTCCATAATCACTTCTGAGTTCATGGGAACCTGTGGGAAGAGGGAGACTGTGAGAGACAAGCAACCACCAAGAAGCCCCAAGGGCTCATGCCTAGCCCCTATTCCTGCCACAAAGACCTAGGGATGACTGTCCGCCCTCTGTGCCTCAGTCCTCAGGGACACCTAACAGCTGTGTTACCTCCAACTAGGTCTCAACCTTTCTGTGTCTCACTGTCCTCATCATCTCCCCACCCGTCTATTCTCCCTTGAGCAATCCACGGAATACTATTTTATTTTATTTTATTTTTGTGAGGAAGATCAGCCCTGAGCTAACATCCACGCCAAGCCTTTTTTTTTTTTTTTTTTCTGGGGAAGACTGGCCCTGGGCTAATATCTCTGCCCATCTTCCTCCACTTTATATGGGATGCTGCCACAGCATGGCCTGACAAGCGGTGCATCAGTGCACGCCCGGGATCCGAACCCAAGCCGCCAGCAGTAGAGTGTGCGCACTTAACCAATACGCCACGGGCGGCCCCCACGGAATACTCTTCAACCTTCAGATCGTGTCCCTCCTCTGTTCAGAACCATCCATGGCCCCCATCACCCTCAGAATGAAAGCACAGCTGCTCAGGCCGCCATTCCAGGTGTAACTCCTCTCACACTCTCTGATTCCTTCAGACATCGAAGGGCCCAGGTTTCCCGAATGCTCCGGCTGTGTCGCACCTCCACGCCTTTGCACATGCTGGCTCCTCTGCCTGTAACGTCCTTCCCACCCCACCGTACTAGCTGTCAGACGTGGGACCCAACCACCAGCGCCCCCACTGTCTGGACACAGGGGCCTGAGCTGCTGGGACCTGAAGCGGCCCTCACTGGAGGCTTCAGGATTCAGAGATGGAGGGCAGGGGAAGACCCGGGGGCGCAGCACCCACCTGCGCCGGGTCCGTCAGCTCGGCCGCCGCCATCGGAACCTGTGCACTGGGGACGGAGGGCACAGGGGAGAGAAGCGGTTGGGGGGCGACAAGTGTGAGGACGGGGCTCCGGCGGCCGGGTCACATGGGCAGCGCCACTGCCGAGCCTCAGACCCGCCTTTGTTCAGGGGAGACAACGCTTCCTCTCGCGTTTTCCCTCTCCTGTCACCTCGGGTCCGACACTGCGTTCCCAAGACGGACCCGACGGATTAAACCAAAAGCAAACAAAATGTCCGCCTAAGAAGGGAACAGGAAGTCCTGCCTTGACGTCTTCCGCACGAACGGAAACGCCCCTTTCCTGGGTCTTCATTGGCCCAGCGCCGCCAAGGCTCCTGGGTAATGTAGTTCCTACATCACCAACGACGGAGAGAAGCATACAGCGCCACCTCCAGGGCAAAGGCCGAGGCACAGAGCTGGCGGCGCTTGGAAACGGCCTCTTGAGTCTTGAGGACTAGGCGGAGCTTCGTTTCCTCTTAAAGGAGCCGCACCCATATTTCTGGTGAATGTAATATATCGCAGAAATGTTTAGAAACGTTATTTCAAGGCTTCTTTACGCAGAGAATACTCACCAAAAAATCAAATGGACACACCATATGCTAATGTCAGTCAGACCTCAATAGCTGGAAGCTAATAAATAGTCTGTTGTTATCAGATAATCGCGAGTAGCCTGAAGCTCCAGTTACTTTTGTAAGCCTCAGCATTTTGGGTCAGGAACAAGAGAGAAAAGACTCCAGACACCACTAGACGTGGAACAAAGAGTAGGGCTGTTGGGCGCCTCTGAAGCACTTGGACAATTCTTGTGTATCTGGTTACTTCAGAAAACATTTTTCCTGCGTGTATTATCAGTGACTGTGTCAAACCCAGCGAGTAACACTCTTTTACAAGATAGTACTTAGTACTCTGCATACAGAAGTGTATTTAATTCTTTTAGGTATCTTACAAATATCTGAAAAGAAAGGCGGTTTACCAATTGTCATTTGGCAAGTAGGAGGGCACAAGAACAATTTCTGTGCAAAAGAAATAACCATCAAACTAAATTTCTATACATAGTCAAAAGATATTTTAACGAATTGTGACATAAGACTTTGAGGCCAAAAATGATGAATGTAATGGAAAACAAACCTACAGAAAATGAAATTCTACATATAATATTCAAGTCCAAAGAAAGTTGATCCCAGATGAAAGGTCTGCGATGAGAGGAGAAATGAAAATTCAGAGAGAGGGGCATCTTTTGATTAAAATAACTGCTCATTATCTGTGTAAAACATGAATATATCTCTTTCTGGAGTTAAAAGGATGGAATTCCCATGCATAACCTCAGAACATATACATTGACAGGAGGCTAATTGCTCAATGTTCTAAACCCTGTATATTTCCAAGTGAGAACTAAATGTATTTATAACCCTATACTCTAATGTATTAGATAAATGTTAGCAATTTTTGCTTAAATATAATAAATAGGATCAAAGTATATACTTTTCAAACTAGAAGAGGAAAATTTTTGTGTGTGTGTGTGTGAGGAAGACCAGCTCTGAGCTAACATCCAATGCCAATCCTCCTCTTTTTTGCTGAGGAAGACTGGCCCTGGGCTGACATCCGTGCCCATCTTCCTCTACTTTATATGGGAACTTATACCAGCGAACCCTGGGCTGCCGCAGCCGGCACGCGCACTTAACCACTTGCGCCACCGGCACGGCCCCAGAAGATGAAAAATTTGAAATATAAATAAATAATCGATAGAAAGGTAAAGACAATCGTAAAAGAAATGGAACAAGTGAGGTAAAGAAAAGCACAGTGTAGGATATATTTAAACCTAAATGAGTATGGACTAAATGCTCAAATAAGCAGTCATTAATTTTTTTTTTTTTTGTGAGGAAGATCAGCCCTGCTAATCCTCCTCTTTTTTTGCTGAGGAAGACTGACTCTGAGCTAACACCTATTGCCAATCCTCCTCCTTTTTTTTCCCCCAAAGCCCCAGTAGATAGTTGTATGTCATAGCTGCACATCCTTCCAGCTGCTGTACGTGGGACGCGGCCTCAGCATGGCCGGAGAAGCGGCGCGTCGGTGCGCGCCCGGGATCCGAACCCGGGCCACCAGTAGCGGAGCGCACGCACTTAACCGCTAAGCCACAAGGCCGGCCCAAGCAGTCATTAATTTTTGACAGACCAAAACACCCTTCACAAGGGATTCTATTTTTTTTCAGTGAATTTCCACAGCGTATTTTAAATTTTAATTGAAAGCACAACTAACATTCTATGGTGTTTTCCCTTACTCCCTATCCTGTAAGCAGGAAAGGAATCATGGGATGACGGGGAATGTCTAGAATTTGCTTTAGAGAAGCCAAGACCTTACCCTTGAAGGTTACCAGGCCATTGACCCAAACCAAATGCGCTGGGACATCATCAGAGATCTGTAGGCCAGTAATATTTCCTGGTTAGTAAGGTGGGGGTGGGGGTAAGGACAGTGTAAAGAGGTAACACTGTGAGTGATAACAGTTATAACGATAATTGATATTTATTTAGCATTTCCATGCCCTGAACATTGCATCAGATGCTTTACAAACCCTGTGCCCTTTTACCTGCACAACAGCCCTGTGAGGTGGATTTGTCACCTAGATTAATAGTGGGAAACTGAGGCTGCAAAGGGTCCATGACTAGCCCTCAGTCATGGCTGTTATGTAGCACAGCTGGGAATGGAGTCCACAGAGCCACAACTTTAACCACTGCCCAACATGGCCTCCTACCCCGTGTCATCTATCCAGCCCTTTTCTATGTCGGAGAAACGAGGCCCTGGAAGAGTCACATGCCCAGGTAACTGACGTGAGGACAGGGATGCATCTTGCCTTTTCCCTGTCCCAGAAACATTAACCTTCAGCTTTATTTATTCTTCAAACGTGTTTTCTGGGAAAAGCCCCACTGGCCCACAGATACAGAGGGTTTGAGGGGGGTAACTGTCTTTGCTGGAGGCTTGCCCTGTCATCCCAACCATCCACATCCAACCATTTCTGGACTACACAACAGCCTCTGCCCTGTCTCCAACACCAGTTCTTGCTCTGCCTAGCTCACTCTCCACACATCAGCCAGAAGGTTATTTCAAAACAAGTCAGGTTCTATTTGGCAAATTCGGGTGGATCAGAAGGACATTGGTAGCCAGAGGGGAAAGGGCCTCAATCCTCATTGATGGCTTTCAGGAATGGAGCTGTAGATTTCACCCAGAAGGAGCAGCAGCTGATGAGTCTTACTGACCACCTCTACAGCCCAGAGTCCGCCAAAGTTACTCAAACTATCCGATCCCACTCTTACTCAGTGTACCTACCCTGCCTCGTCCATTCCTTCCCGTGACAAGCCCAATAAAGCCTCTGGGCCATGCTTTTTCCTCTCCCCCTTCTGCCTCATGATCCACCTTGGTGGATCCACCCCATGTGGCCCTGCATGGTGTGCCATGCCTCCTGTTTCTAGGGTTCTGAGTATAAGCTTCTTCCTTCATGAAATCATTTCTGTGTCTCTGTGTCTTATCATATCTGATTAAAATAAATCCCAGGTACATTTTGTGACAGTAGATAATCACCTTACCTAAACTAAATGATTAAATAGTCTGTTCTTTCCTCACTGATCAAGTTATTTCAAATTCGACACCCATGTGAAGCTGTTTTAGTCTATTATGATCATCCATTTGTCTATTCCTACGATTAAATTAAACTGTCTACATAGTTTCTCTTGTCTTTCTTTATTTTAAAAACTGTCATACATTCAGTGGAATGTTCATAAGTGAAGTACAAATTGTTTTTTTCTTTTATAAAGACCACACCTATAAAACTATCACCCAGTGTAAGACAGAACATATCAAGTTTCTTAGGCCTCCCCTGTCCTGTCTCTCCTTCTGTGTTGTTCTGGCCACTAGAGGTCACCTGACATTTTGATTATCATTCTCTTGATGTCTTTATAGTTTTGCAACTCATCTATATTTCCCTAAATGATAGACTATTATTGCCAGATTCTGAATTTTCCATAGATTTTACTATAGTGTATGTATTCCGCTATGAGTAGATTCTGTAACATGTTTGCTAGATGCACCCACACGGTTCATGGTATAGTGGTCAGCTCATTTTCATAGCACATCAGTAATCCAATGGGTGAATGATCCAGAATCTACTCTTCTAAGATGTGATTTCAAGGAAGTGATACATGTCTTCCTGTGTTTGGCTTAAGGAGGGAGTTTCTCTGCACCTCATCTCACACCTGTTGATGGGTTTCTCTCTCCTGACTCTCTTCCTTCCCTTCTATAATTTTATTTATTTATTTATTTTCCCCCCAAAGCCCCAGTAGATAGTTGTATGTCATAGCTGCACATCCTTCTAGTTGCTGTATGTGGGACGTGGCCTCAGCATGGCCGGAGAAGTGGTGTGTAGGTGCGCGCCCGGGATCCGAACCCAGGCCGCCAGCAGTGGAGTGCGCGCACTTAACCACCAAGCCACAGGGCTGGCCCTCTTCCTTCCCTTCTGTTCACATGCCACATTGTGGCCTGATCTAAATAACTCAGGCCCCTTGGATCTCTCTCTATCATCCCATATTCTCTACTCCAATATTGACTCCCCTCCTCCTTTCCAGAATCAGCTAGTACTGAAAACCTAGTTTCAGAAAGTTCCAAGAAGGAGCAAATGCTTCATCATCTTTTGTCCTCATGAGTCACTCCAAAGCTGTGATGAAGTTGGTCACTGCTCAGCCCATGGATGAAAGGGACAGAAGAAAAATGGAGGAAATGAAGATTGACATGAAAGAAATAGAGTCACTAGCAGGGGAGGTAGTGGGAGAACAAATAAACAAACAAATAAAAAACAAACAAATCTCTTTTATCAACAGCGGCTTGGTGTCAATAACAGTCCAGCATTCTTCCTACTTGAAGGAAGTTGGCTTTGTATCTAGAAATGGAAGGGCAGTGGGAACATAGAGTAGGAAGAGAAGAAGGGAAGAAATCTGGGGGGAGAGGAGTATTGG